TGCGGAGGGCCAGCACATCCACTCAAAAGGCAGCATGTCCCAGCTCTGGGGGCCAGAGCCCCGAGCTTCCTGTATACAAGACACACACGAAAGCCAGTCCCGCCCACAACAGATGGGAGGGGGGCCACCGGTGCAGGATGTAGAGAGTGCACACATACAGACCGATACATATGCAAGAGGTGAAAGGGGGCAAGAGTGATAGCCATTGTCTGTAGGTGTCGGGGGGGCCCGGCTCCTTCCTGGCAGCAGGGACATATGGATATAAGCAGGCATACAGATTCAAGATACGAAAGACACAAGGGTGTGACAGACAGCAGGGGGCCCTCACAAAGCTCAGCATGGCGTCAGAAGGGCGTCTCTGCATTGATAAAAGGCCTTTGACGTCCGTGTATTTGCTGCGGCTGGTTTTATGTAATTACTCCAAAAACTGTCACCACACTCCCCTCTTTTGATAATTCAAAACCATTTTTGCATTAATCAGTTAAATACCAGAGGCATCGTAATCACACCACCTTCAAGCTTGAAACACTTAAATTATTGCTGTCCAAAGTGGACAAGAAAAGAAACATGCTTGTCAATAAAAGAAAGAGCACATTATAATAACACAATGGATCCGGACAGCGATAAGAGAAGACAATATTAACATAATAAACACGGTCAGCACGGAAAGTAGTGTCAGTGTGGCCAGCATAACAGTCCAAGGGCCCATGCCGGTCTTAGCCGGGCTACGTTCGGTAGTCTTTTCCGCGGGAATACTCACGAGCAGTGCCGTCTCGCAGTCAGTGGCACCGCTCCCTATGAGCGTGTGTGGAGCGTTAGTGGTCATGGCGATGTTTGGTCTTGGAGCGGCAAGACTCTAATTGCGTTGAAGCCTTGGCCTCAGCACTCGGTTGGGCAGAGTGCTCGGGGTTTGGGGTGTGGAGACCATGGCTTGAGCACGCTCCAGATCGGCCAGGCCCAAAGCTCGTTTGATGGGAGACCTCATGACAGCACGCTTCACCATGTGCCTCATCAGGAACTGTAGAGCAGCCCTCATCTCCACCTCCTCCGGACACACGGGAGACGAGACACCAGGGGGCACTCCAGCAGAGCTCAAATCTGCATTATGGCCAGAGGGAGCAAGCTCTGGAGAAATCTTTGGAATGGGCAGCAGCTCTGCATACTTGCTGCAGCTGAGCAGAGCGCTCAGGGCCTTCATGGCTCCCAAGCCTTGGGATCCGGGGGCTGGGGAGTTGGGCAGAAGGGGGGTCGCCTCGGGAACGCTGGGATTCTCTGGGTGTTGTTGTTGGCCTGCTTCACCGACGGTGGCCGCACGCCGGCCAACTTCTTCAGCGTAGGGAGCCGCGGATGGGCCTGGTCCGTCCGCGCCCTCGGTGTCCTCGTCTATGGCCCTCAGTGGCAGCCCCGCACGACAGTGGTTGGCGTGGATCCAAGTTGTCCTCTCCGCGACCTTAACGGCAGTGTCCGTCACCAGGAGGGCGAGGAATGGGCCGAGCCAGCGCTTGGACCGCCAGTGCTTTCGTCTCGTTTCCTTCACCGGGCCCAGTCGCCTGCGCAGCCTGTGGCAGGGCGCTCCTGACCTGGGCAGAAATAGAGGACAAAAGTGCATTAATTTCCTACAATAGGACAGCATGTCGTCATCACACAAAGAGGTGCTTGGCAGATCTCTGTTCGGGGGTCCCGCGCCCAACGTGGGGCTAGCGGCAGAGCTTTGAGTGCCATTCTCTCGCTCGCACGTGCCTCCGGACCAGGGGGCGTAACTGCAGTGTTTACGTATATCAATGCCCAGAAATTCACCCACTTCCTCAATGACTTTTGCTACAAAGTGACTCACCACCGCGTTGCTCGTGGCGTGTATGCCTGCAAATACTTCAGTCCATTTGGACCAGAGATCCGCCAGACCCAGACAGTATTACTTACCTTGGCATGGTGTGAGTTCAACAAAGTCCCTTTGGACATGTTGAAATGGGCGCAGGGGCGGAGGATGAGCAGCCTGTTGGATACTTTTGGGACTTACCTGGGTTGTGCGCGGGGCATATAGCGCATGTTTGGCTGAAATGCCGTAAACCCCTTTGTATACCAATTTTGTGTGATTAAATCACACATCATCCCTCCTTTTGAGGCATGGTCTCGACCATGTGCTAAAATTGCAAACTGTCTGAAGAAATGCCGTGGTAGGCACGGTTTGCTGTCTGGTCCCAGCCACACACACCATGCCGTCGTTGAGCCCCATTCCCCTCCCACAGCAGCGTCTCTGCTGGAGTAGAAAATATCAACGTCTTGAGTGAGGTAGTGTGTGTGTGTGTGTGTAGAGGTGCGTATGCCGCTGCCTTGTCCGCGCGCCGATTCCCTGCAGAGATGGGATCAGTGGCATTAGTGTGGGCCTGGCATTTGCATACAGCGATCTCTAAGGGCAACATTACAGCTTTCAGCAGACGTTCAACCTGTGTGGAATTAAGAATTGGTTTACCATCAGATTTCATAAAATTGCGGTGTTTCCACAGTGCTTTCCAGTCGTGCACCACAGAGAAACCATAGCGCGTATCACAGAATAGGTTAACAGTTTTGCCCGCTGCCAGCTCACAAGCCCCGGTGGGCGCGACCAGCTCAGCGGTTTGTGCTGAGTGGTAGTGGGGCAAACTACCAGAGTCTATAGTATCAAAATCAGAACACACAGCATAGCCGACTCGGTTCTTCCAAGTGTTGTCACGTGACGCGGCTCCGTCTGTATATAAAAAAAATCAAGTCAGGATTAGTCAGAGGCACCTCTTTCAGGTCTGGCCTGGGAGTGCATATCTGTTCTATTGTGGCGATACAGCAGTGTGCCTCCCCTTCCTCTGGCGTGGGCAGCAGCGAGGAGGGGTTCAGCTGTGTGCATTCCTTCACCGTAGTTCAAAGAGCACCGTGTTGTACCCCAGCCAACGAGCCGCAGAAAGGCGAGAGGCCCTCTGCTCTAACAGGATCAGGGAAACAGCATGGGGCACAAGCAAAGTTAGTTCAGTGTATCCCACAAGGTCACGTGATGCTAGGGCCGCTTTCTCAGCGGCAGCCACAGCCCGCAGGCAGCGAGGCAACCCTGCTGCCACGGGATCGAGTTTTGCTGAGAAGTAAGCAGTGGGTCTCAGTGGCCCTCAGTGAGGCTGCAAAAGTACCGACTGTTCCGTTCATCTCCAGTTGCTTTTCTCCCGGATCGTCCTCAATTCATATTGTGGGCTTTTGTGCCAAAGTGGAGGCTCATTTCCTCCTGATCCATACTACTGTCATCCCTGGAGCAGGGGTAGTTTATCTCTCATCTGAAAAAGAAATATCAGAACACAAAAAAAACACAAAAAATGCCCACTTTCGCTTGTCAATCTTTTTCCCAATTGGGCAAAACATAACTGCATTGACAGGTGGTGTGTGGCATCAGGGCGGAGGCTGTAGCCAAATACAGAACAACAAAATGTATGTTTCTAATTTTATACTCCCCTAAATGTGAGTTTACAAACCAAAGTTGTCCTCCGCCCAATGACCGCTCACTGCGGTTGGACCGAATCACTGTCAGGGCAAACAGCAGAGGGGAGGAACTCCCAATATCTTCAGCGAGGTATTTCATCTCCGAGTACTTTCCGCAGAGTACTTTTCTCAGAGTACTCATCCCAGAGTACTCTCACTTTTACACCTGTTTAATAAAGGTCGTTATCTTTGAATCTCTAGTACTTACACCGTATGCTGTTGACAAAAAAGAATTATTCCATGATCACATTAAAACATTACAGACACATTTGTTATTCCATTCTCCGTTCAGCACTCCTCATTTCACTCCTTATTTCACACATCACACTCATATCACAGTCACATCACAGGCCAATCCCCACGTTAGTATTGGTCCAGAGTTTGTTAAGGTCAGCGTGGTGTACTTTGACATGACACACAAACATATAACATACACAAAACATATAACACACACAAACATATAACAACACAGAAGGCCTGTACTTTTAACTTTGTTATATTTTTCCATGTCCAATTCCAATTGTCTCATGAGCTATTTCTTATTGTTGCAACTTTCAGAGCCTGCAGAGCTTTAAAAGAGTTTTCCTAAAAGGATCCATTTCCAACTTTAGTGTTTACCACGTGGTCTATACTTCGGGCTTATCACAGATTGTGTCCCCTATATCTCTAATGAGCTCTTGTCACCTAAAAAAATGTTTATTTTCCTTATTTTTTTCTTTTTCAATAAAGCCAGGTCGGATTCATTAAAAATGTAAATTAGTCTCAAACTTTAATACTTCACCTTTGTTTCACGATAAAAATGTTTTTGTTACTCATTAAGTAGCACAGATAGTGGTGCCTATCTTCCCTACACTGCATGAATTTTCAAACTCCAAGTTATTGTCTGGGAACGACCGGAGAGAGCAGCTTAGGTCGTTCGCGTGGTTGACCTCCAAATTGTGTGCGGGCGTCACTATTCACTTGTTGTGGCTAATAACTTAGCAATCTCAGGGTTTGGTGTCAATTTCCAGTGGTAGTTAACTTTTGGGACCGGTGCCTCCTTTTATTTATCTATTTTTAATTGAGTCTGCACATAAGGTCTCGGCCTAGTAGATTAACCGGGCACAATGGGGAATATAGAAAAGAATGTTTAAGCTGGTTGCCCTGAGAATCAAAACACGTTAGCGGTGACGTAAATTGCTCTTTAGTCGTCTCTCCGACGCTGCTAATTAGAATATGAAGCGGCCGCTCATTTTAGGGGAGACAGAAAGGCTGTCACTTTTAGCACAGAATTTGTTGCCCCGGAGTCATCCAGAATTTTAACTTGTACACCACAGGTTGTTAGCGTATATTACGGGCATGAATTATCTCTAAAAAGTGCCAATTGCAATTTGTTGTTGTTCAACTTACATGAGCGGTCGCTTTGGTGACGAATGTGAACCCAGGTTTGGTCAGTCGCTCGTGTTTCCTCCGTGCCCGCCTCTGCCGTCCTCTGGCCCCGTGTTAGCTTGAGCGTTCCTCTGCCTTTAACGCCTCCTCCGGTAACAGTCCTTCGACCCATGTCGAGCACACAGTCTTTCCGCCGGGCTGTGGAAGTTTTTCAAAGTCCGCAGGAGGCCCAGGTAGCCCAAAGCGTTAGCATGTGGTCCATGAGGGTTGGTGAATGACCCAAACGTGCCGGTACTTTTGGCTTCTTCTGTTTGCGGTGCGGGGGCAACTTTCAAGCGGGTTTCCGCGGGTGCGTTTGGTATATCACGCTGCCCCCTCCGTGGAGAACAGTCACGGGATTTGGAGCAGTTTCTCTCTGTGCTCCAGAGCAGTTGTCGGTGTCTCACATATTTGCTTCCCCCGTTTCTTCTTCTGTGGTTTCCTGAGCGTGTGTCTGTTTCCGCCTCTTCTTCTTCTGCGGTTTGGGCCCACTTCTCGCGGGGTCTCAGCTGGTGCGAGCGCCGCCTGTGGTTGGGGCGTGGGGCTGGTGCTTTGAGGCAGAGGACAGAGCGCGGAGGAAAAGCGCCGACAGACCTGGACAGGGAGAGAAAAAAGGGACAACAGTAGTCTGCTCATTTTGTTTGAAAATCCAACGCCTTGTTTGGGTGCACACTTATTGTTAGTAGGGGAAAAAGGGCGGTAGGGTGGGGGTGTAGGGGTGTGGGGGTTGTGTGTGTGTGTGTCCGCCTGTGTGTTCTCCGCTTCGGTGAAGAGCGGAGGAGCTATTGTTTTTACATATTTCTTTCTCTAACCTCTTTTGCCGTGATATTCTTAAAACCAAGTATATTTTTTTTTTCTTCCCTTCTTCTTCTAAATTATCACGCAGATGACCTGCACCATAGGCAAACACTTCACAGCTTGCATCTGTAGATTGATTTTACCCATTTTCTCGTACGAACAATGGGCCTAACCCGCTTAGTCTCTCCCTGCTCCTACCCACTTTGGGGCGCTCCGTTCCCCCCCCCGCTGGTTCAACCAGCGAGCGCGCGTTCTTGAAAACGGAGCGGTTCTGGCTGAAGACACTCAGAGATTCCAGGGTCGCTTACAATGCGATACTAACGCGCAGCCGCTAGTTTCAATCTAGAACAAAAAGCCCCCCAAAAAAATCCCGCACACAGACTATGCTGTGGCAATGAATGAAATACCCCAAAAATACATAAATAAACAAATCCCCGTGTACACTTAAGTGCTGCCCTGGGCTCGTTACGCAGATGAAAAGACAAGACTCACCAGATTAGGTTCTTTTTGGTCTTGTGTGGCAAAAGGATTCCTTCCGTGCGCGGGACGAGCGCGCCCTCCTTTGTCTCCAAAAAGGAACAGAGGCTGGTGATCCAGGTCGGCCAAACGCAGCCGCTCGTCCCCGCCGAAAGTATCCATGCCAAGACATGTCAGCAACGCCAAATTGTTATAGAATTATATACCCCATGAAGGAGGAAACTCAAAGGTCCTTTGTCTGGTCAAAAGCGTAAGTTTATTGTTCACGCACGTGCGGAGGGCCAGCACATCCACTCAAAAGGCAGCATGTCCCAGCTCTGGGGGCCAGAGCCCCGAGCTTCCTGTATACAAGACACACACGAAAGCCAGTCCCGCCCACAACAGATGGGAGGGGGGCCACCGGTGCAGGATGTAGAGAGTGCACACATACAGACCGATACATATGCAAGAGGTGAAAGGGGGCAAGAGTGATAGCCATTGTCTGTAGGTGTCGGGGGGGCCCGGCTCCTTCCTGGCAGCAGGGACATATGGATATAAGCAGGCATACAGATTCAAGATACGAAAGACACAAGGGTGTGACAGACAGCAGGGGGCCCTCACAAAGCTCAGCATGGCGTCAGAAGGGCGTCTCTGCATTGATAAAAGGCCTTTGACGTCCGTGTATTTGCTGCGGCTGGTTTTATGTAATTACTCCAAAAACTGTCACCACAGTTGGCAGCAGTCTAAAAGCAAATAGCTGCAGCTCAGATGGAACAAAAAAAGAAAAGAAACTCAAACCCTGGTGCAGTTTTGACAAATCAGAAACAGTTTTTGTTAAGGAAGATTATCATGTCTGCCTTCTCGGGCAGTAAGCGCGACCGTTCCGCACAGATTGTGCTTCCTGCAGTTGAAAAGACCCGTTCACTAGGTGTTGAGGAGACCTGCACACATAAATATGAGAAGGCCAGACATGACAGTAAAGGATAAGTTTGTTTCTGGGTCCAGAACCAGGCTGCAGGGTCAGATGATGTGATGATTGATGGGATTTCCAGGTACGTCTGGATCTCCCTTTCAGCACGACTTTCCATAGACATCACCCCCTCCTGTGAGGTCCTCTTCATGGCATCCTCTTCAGCAAAAAGCTCCTCCAGTGGGGACTTTTTGGATTGTTTGGAAGGAGGAGGCTGCTTAACAAACACAGGACATAATAGTTATCAATAAAAAAAAACATTAGAAATATACCAGATATAATTTCAGTAATCTACTTACATTCTCCTCTTCCTCTTCACTGTCAGTCTTCAGACCTTCCTGGTTTCCCTCGCCCTGCGTCACACTAACCTCTTCTGCATGGTCATGGACTGCCGCTGGCGCTGACTACAAAGGAACATAATGGAGAGGGACAGGTAGACATAGAAAGATGGATAGAATATAAGAGTTGTCACAGTCTATAATAGAATATGTGTTAATAAAGGCACTTTATTGATTAACAGTAGAGTTGTTGTAGCAAGGTGATTAAAAAAGTATAAACAGTACAGTGTTAATGATTACTGCATGGATGATGTAAAATGCTAATTAATATAAAATGTATATATTTGTATATGAATGACACTTCACCTCCTCAGAGTTTGCCAGCAACTTCCCCTTAATCCGTTCCCAGACTGCAGCATTGTTGACCATCTTATTCTTGAAGCGGGGATCTAAGGCAGTGGCTTCTTCCAAGAAGAACCTGATGTCCTCATTCTTTAAAATAAAAACAAAACAAAACTACTATTGCAGCAAGCCACAGGAACAGAAGTATCTAATCTAATTTTAGTCTTCGTTTGTTTATAGCCTCAGTCATTACCTTGTACCGGGCAGACAGGTTTCTCCAGACCCTGTTCTTCAAGTCCGCTACAAATGCTGTGTCTCCATTTAAAGGGGCGAAGTGTTTCTCAAGCTTTTGGATGATCGGCAGGATCTGTCCAGCTGATGGGCTTTTTTCGGTGGAAACACAAAGTGTGCAGGTGTAAAGAACTCGCATCAGCCTGATGAAGTGTTCTGCCTTGGTGAAATCCCCTTCTGTCAGCCGATCAAGCCTGTGTGCGAAAGAATACATTTTCAATACAGTTCAAAATAAAGATTTTTTTTGTTTCTCTTTAAACAAAAGTAGTGCTATTTGACAAGTGACTTTAAATTAATTCCACTGTATAATACAGCAAAACAGTGTGCCAATTTCTTTCTTAGAACCGTATGCACATTCATACACTCTCATTTTATTCTTATATACTGTGTATCCATCTCTCTCTCTACCTGTCCCTCTCCATATTCTTTCTTAGGCGTTGATCCAAGCTGGCTGCTTGTATTGCAGGGTATTGTTCAAGGAATCTCTCGATCATTAGATAGAGAGAATTCCACCTTGTTCTCACATCGAGAATCAGTGAATGTTGAGGAAGTTCTGACACGAATAAGAAAATCACAAATACATAGAGAATTGACATCAATGACATGCAACTTTTATATTGTGTAATCAGACAGATATGTAATGTTGCATTGTTTTACTAATGTTAATACCAGCCAAATGTACACTGGCTGCAGTGCACTACTAAAAGAGAGGAATTGCTTCAATTTGATCCTGGCATCCAATTAAACTCAAGACATTGATTCTTACTTAGGACATCCTGCTTTTCTCGTAGAACCACCTTTGCCATTGACGACCTCTTCATCCAGACGATGATGGCACGAATCTTTGCAGTCCACTGAGCCACCAAGCTGCTGGAGTACAGACTTTGTGCTGCTAGGTTTAGTGTATGAGCGAAGCAGCCGAGCTTCACAAATTGTAGCCGTTTGATGGCTACGTCCATATTGGCCGCATTATCCACAGTAACTGCTACTACTTTATCAAACACACAAAATTCTTTCAGGATGTCGCCGATTTCCTCTGCCACAACAATTCCTGTCTGGGCTGTGTACACTGCTTTTGTTGCAAGAACTTTCTGCCTCATGTTGCCTTCCACTAAATAGTGCACTGTGACAGTCAGGTAGTGGTCTTGGGTTAGGCTAGTCCATCCATCACAAGTGAGAGCTATGTGACTAACCTCACTCAGCTCTGAGATCACATTAGATTTTTCCACCTGGTACCATGCTGGGATCAATCTATTTGTTAAATACTCCCTTGTAGGGGGGGTGTACTTTGAGTTTATTGAATGGATCATATCCCTGCAAATGCAAAAACAAACATATCTTTAGTAAAAAAACAACTTTAAACAGAGCATAAAAACAATGTGCAATTAACACACACTTCTGCACATATTTTGTTAAACGAGCACTGTGCATAAAACAAATCTGTCAATTAAGTTAAACCTGAACTGTTACTGTAACTTAAGTCAGGGGTAGATAAAGTAGCTAACCGCTAAGTTATTTAGCTTATTTACTTAACGTTACCTAAATGTGGGCGACTCGACATCGCTAAGCGGATGCAGCCTTTTTACCACATACGCCGTTACTTTTCTGTGGCACTCGGCAATTTGCTCCGCTGACAGCTTTCCCCTTGCTGCCAAGGTGAATGGGGTTTCTCTATTTACTGGCCGGGGTCTCTGGCCGGTTAACGCAGCAGCCGCAGCAGACTGGCTGATGCTAGCAGCATCACTCTGCGAGCATTCAACTGAATCAGCTATGAACAGATTTGACACAATTTTAGCAACCGGTAGTATATTAAAACTTTAGCTTGTCTGTGAAGAATAAGACAAAAATCATTTTCATATACCTGATTCCGTTTCCAACGCAGAGTTGCTGGCTGATTGTTGAACTTCACTGTCCGAAGTGGAGGAAGCGACGGGAGCAGGAGAGCGACGCAACACATCAAACACAGTACACTCGTTACCACACTGTATACCATGTAGTTGCCGAAGGTGTTTTTTCATATTAGTTGTACATCCTCCTTTAGCACTAATATATTTTCCACAGGTGTTGCACTGTGCTAATCCATCTTTCTTTAAACTAAAATAAAGCCAGACTTTTGATCGGCGTCTTCGGTCCATGTTCAATCAGGTTAGGGTAGTGAAGTTTCGCGGGGGTGGAGTATTTTTTTTTTTTTCGCGGGCGAAGTAATTATTTTATTTTTTCCGCCGGAAGTCCCCTCCACTTTCACAACGTGAATTTTCATTGACTTTACATTTACTAGTTTAGACTGGACCTTTTCAATAGGGCACTGTCCGGTTTCCGAAATGTGCTAAAAATAGTTCCAATGACTGCGCATGCGCGCATGTTTCGGACAAACTATGTCCGACTCCGTTGAGTACTACTGTGTTCTCCACATAAGCGTGTGTATTTATTTGGGCTAAATCATTGAATCATGGTGACAACAAAACACTGCAGTTATGGTGCTTGTGGGAGCGATTTCAGATACTCTGAAAAGGACTATATGAAAGCAGTAACATTCAACCTGTTCGTTAAACCACACCATCGAACCAGACCAGGACCAGACCAGGACCAGACCAGGACAAGTGCAAGAGGTGGGTGCTTGTGGTCAGCAGAATTTCTCTCATGAAAATGTTAAAAAGGAAATGTTTTTTCAAAACACTTCGCTGGACCAACTGTGGAGCCTCCAGATCCAGTCCTAGCTACGTTTAGCTGGGACTGGACCTGGACCGCTGTATCAGGTCCGTCTGAGCTCTTCTGAATGTAGTTAGCCCCATCAATCCATATTAGTATTGTTTGTCCTAATCCAGAATGTATACAATTCTCACACCTGAAGAAAGATGAGAGGGATTTTTTCAACTTCGTGACTATCGGAAAATAAGCACAGACGAAGCGCGTCGGGGTCCGCTTATTATACGGCTTTGTACCAACTGAACACACAAAATAAACTTCTGTCACTATTCATGCCAAAAGGTTTATTTAATGAGTGCAAAGAAAATAGTTCCCAAAGGTTTTAGTTCACCTACTTTAAAAAAGCGATCGCTTTAGTCGCATTAAAAAAGTATTTTTGTCATGAAAACCTTAACAGATAATTCTGAAAACCTCTGTGCACGTGTGTTGTATGAATATTATATTCTAGCATTAACATTTAAATATGTTGATTGATTGTCGTTTGCGTTTACTGAGTGTGGCTAGCTCCGATAGTTTCTCTCTCAGAGACAGTAGTGGTGTAGCCCGTTGTGACCCCATGGATCTATTATAATATCGGCTGACTGTAGTTAACTAAATGATCAAACTAATTACGAAATGGACAGTACAAAAAACAACTTGATAAATGGAAGTTAATCAGAGCAAAATAAACAAAGAAGGCGCTAACATTGCAATTTAAATGACTAGATAATGTTAGCATAATCCTCACCATTACCTTTTTATCAAATCAAACTTTCTACCAGTTACTGGAAGACCACGACATTCAAGCCAACGTTTTAATTGGTCTACACTATGATCCCTGATGGTTTGATGGTGGAATTTTGCCCCTGGTTTATCATTTTCGTCTAAAGTGACAAGAGGTATTTGATTCATTTTGGCAGTGTTTGTCCGAAACATGTGGGCGGGAGTTGACAGGCGGCGGGGGCGTGTCTTAGTGACGTCATTCAGATAGTTCGCTATAGGCTCCCCGAGCACCGCCCACCATCATCTCAGAGCGGCTGAAATGTAAACAATAAACACGTCTCTGTAAACCGCTGAAAAACGGCTAAAGTGAGAATACTGGAGGATTATCGTTGGACGGACCAACAGATTTGACCAAAGCACAAGGAAGGACTCGTGCATCGTGTTTTCGGAGTTTTTTACGGATTATTACATGGAAAGGAGCAGGACTTTTTTCGGTCCTCGGCAGGTGGACAGCGTGTTTCCCTTCTTCATCATTACAAAGGGCCTGACCAGTAACTTTAAGGTAAGGAACATCAGTTTTGGATGTGTTTGTAAAGCGAGTGATGAAACTGATGTAGCGTGAGATTGGGGAAACTGCACCGGGCTAACACGAGTGTTCAACCGGTCAATACGCCCGTTAAACCTCGCTGTCTAGACTCTAACTTAACCAAATAATATCTGAATTAGTCATTTGACGGATAAATGTTTGCTTCCTTTACCCCTTAACTCAGTTTTATCTGCGTTTGTGGAAAATGTGAAGATACAAGCGTTGAGAGGTTTCTTTGCGATGGCAGGAGTGTGTGGCTGAAGCTAAATGTGGATGCAAACACAAGCGCGCCGTCTCATAAGAGCTTAATTCACTGAGTTTTTCACAAAGCTGGGTGGACAGCTGCTAAGCATTTTTGAAACGTGTCCCCCCCCCACCTTCCAAACGCTTCCGACGCCGCTGTGCGGGCCGCATCCGGCATTTAGGAATCGAAAAAAGAATCAAAATACAAACGTCTTCTTAACGGTTCCGGAACCGCACTTTAGGAACCGGTTCCAAATAGGAACCGGTTCTCGGTGCCCAACCCTAGTCAAAAGTAGTGTATAGCACTATTTTATTTAAAGCCACCCAGGGGAATTTTTACAGTTGCTCCATTGACTAATAACAAATGTGACCTTTTCAAGAATATTTATCTCCACCATGTTTTTGTAATTGTTTTCATAGGCTTAGAATTCAACTTGTAATTGTCCATGAGAGAGGAGTCCTATCCGTGTTAATGCGCCATCTTGAAATACAATGGACAATGGACAATAAGGGACAAAAAGGATGCAAGAATCACGTTTTCATTTCACACGTGCTACTGATATTGTTGCATTCACTGTGCCCTCATAAGTTTGAAGAAGGAACCATGGAGGACCGCAGTTATGTAAAAGAACGACCTGAACAACAATCTTTAAAAATAATCATGCAAAAGTCTGACGTCATGCAGCAAACTGTCAACATGGCAAACCACACGCACCGAAAGGCAGAACAGGAGGCACATTGTGTAGTTTGTACACAACATGTATACACGTGAACAATACGTAAATTTTTCACACCAACAGTATGAGAACGAGGTAAAACCTACAACACGGGTCTCAGGATGTTTTGACTCCCTCCATGTCCAACTACTGTCACAAGTTGAAACAAAACTTATTCAGGGACCAGCCTCAAATTGCAAAACACACAGAATCCCCGCAAAACAATCGCCAGAATAGTTTATCACCACCAGTGAATGTTGTGTTTTCTTACTGTGATTGTGCAGTGCCTGGTGAAACCTAATAATCTGAGCTTTTAGCCGCAGTTCTGCCGCGGCTGGGTCCAAGCCAATGTCCTGCTTTTTGGATCCTCGTGGTTTTAAGCTCCCACAGATTTCTCACAGCGTTTGTAAAACTATATATTATAATAGATCCATGGTAGAACACCACTAGAGCCTCTGCAGCTCGTGCCGCTTCACATGCGGACTTTGTTTACATGTAGCCTCCGTGCACGTGCGTCAAGATACATTTGTGGTGCGATAGTGTTTGGAGAGATCCGGTCATTTAAGAAATTAAAAGATTATTTTCTTAACTCCATTAATACGCGATAAAATAATTGTCAACGTTAATTGATTGATGAGTTAACGTGATAATACCGCGTTAACTTGCCCAGCCTTAATATTTAATATTCGAATTATATACGAGCACAGGCGTGATGATTGACAGCCCTTGGCATCACTTGATTGGTTAAAGTGGACAGCATCATGGATTTTCAGCTATAGCTAAGGGTGTATTCAGACCTGCACATTTGCTCCACTTTAAACGGACCAGGATTCGTTTGGAACTCTGATCCGAAGCTTTTATGCAGGTCTGAATACACACAAACGAATCCTGGTCCGGACCAAAGAACCGAACCGAGACCCACTTTTTTAGGTGGTCTCGGTCCGCTTCCAAACGAATTCTGGTCCAAGTCGAATCAGGTCTGAATACATCCGGTGTCGATCCGACACAACTCCAAGATACGTGCACATTTTTTGGGCTTAACAAGCCGCAGACAGAAACTGAGGAATTAGCCATGCAGCGGCTAACTATGCTGCTAACGCTACACAAAAACAATGAGCCGTGTGCAGACCTGGAGCAGTGAGGAGACGCTGTGCAACAGACTTATGGAGTTAAAACTGCTCACAGTATACAGTGATGTTAATGGCAGCATCTTCAAACCATTTGCATTATTAAAAACCTGACACTGTTTGACTCACGTCTCAAAGAGCAATATCCCGCATCATGTAGTGAATTGTGTTCTTTGGTTCCTACCTGATCCTCAGCGTCTGTTTGTCCCGTGGTTATTATAGATCCATGGTTTATCCACAATGCTGAACAGGGCCGTTATTATCATAGATCCATGTGTGGGACAGGGCACGGAGCGCACAGACAGTCTCCTTCGGCTTTCTCCCCACGCATTCTCCGACTCTGTTCCAATATTTACGTGTTTCGCCTGCGTCATATGAGCTGCTGTTGATGATGTTGAAGGTGGTTTTGCTCTAAAAAGAGCAAACAGAGGCAGAGCAGACATGCTGCACATACGAGCCCTCAATGTTTTCTGCCGGGCCCGCGTCTATCCTCCGTGAGCTCTGCTGTCCAATAGGATCGCCGATCGTCACACGTGTCAATATGTTTATATAAAATAGTTCACTTGCAAAAAGGACAGTCTGAATATGAACCGGAGCAAAAGAAAAAAGTTTGGTCCGCTTTTGATTCGGATCAAGCAAGCGGAGCAAAGGACTCTTCAGGTCTGAATACACCCTAAGATGAGGGAAAGCGGGACTTACCAGTAGTATTAGAATTCATAGAATGACTTATTTTATATCAGAGTGACTGAGAGTGGATTATCATCTACAAGAAGTGAGATGACAAGCTACACACATGTTTTCACCACATAGCTTTATTTCAGACTATTACTACTACAATTTGATATTTTTTTCCATACAGAATATAGCTGTTTGGTCCAAGCCCCTCCCATGGGCGTTACAAAAAAGAATAAATACACGTATTCCAAAGAAAAACCTTTCTTGGCTTAAACTCACACCTACTTGTCAATAATATTGTTCTGCACATTTCTAATTTCCTGCAGTGAAAATGGGTGCCAACAATAAACAAACCAACAATACAAAAAACGTGGTGCAGTGAAAGCGCGTGCACATCTGGTATATTTGGCTTAGCCAAAGATGCTCTCGGTTTGGGTGTGTCACCTATGACTACATAGGCGGAAGGAATGGAGTTTGGACAGGCGCGTGAACCTGGAACCCCGAGCCGTGTGCGAGCCATATATTCCTGCTACTGTGAGATACTGAAGGCTTTCCCACTTGATTGCCAGTCCTTCTTTTTCAACTGTTGAGTAACAAATCTCTCTGGGCAAACTTTTTGGCACAGGTAGAGCACTGGCTGCTTTTCTCTTGGTTCCTCTTGGGCCAGAACTGCTCTGAGCCCAACAGCTGATGCATCCACCTGGACTAGGAACCGGCAAGTGGTCAGGACTCTTGAGGACTTGAGAGAAGCAGAGGCAAGATTTGAGGGTCTGAATTGCTTCTTCACAGGCATCTGACCAGGCTTCTTCTGTTCTTTCGCAGTCAGGGTGGTCAGAGCTGCTGCGACGGAGGCCACCTTAGGGCAAAGCACCCCTACCAGCCTGCCAGGCCCAGGAATGACCACACCTCTTTCTTGGTTCGAGGTTGAGGGCAATTACGGACAGCTTCCAACTTATCGACTTGAGGATGCACCTCATATCAACGTAGTCTGTACCTGAGGTATTGGGTCTCTTCTCTTTCCCACTCACACTTTGATGGGTTCAACGTGAACCCAGCTTTATGTATCATGTCCAGGACCAGAGCAAGATACTGGACATGATACAAAATTTAAAAGCAACAACTTTCCAGTTGTTGCTTTAAATCCATCCATCCATCCTTTTTCTTCCCCTTAATCCATTTCTGGGTTGGGGGTGACAGTCAGAGCTGCACCCAGTTCACAGAGCACCAGCCCCTCACTGATCCTCCTGCAGTTGGTGAGTCCACAGGAGCCTTGATCTTCCAGTGGGGGCTTCAGGCAAAGTGGGGTTAAGTGTCTTGCCCAAGGACACAACGACCACAGACATCAGTGGGAGTCGTGAAGTAGGTGGGCTCGAACCCTGGACCTTCAGGCCCAAAGGCCAATGCTCTACCAACTGAGCCACTGTCGCCCATGGCTTTAAATCCCCACATCATCTAAATAGGCTGTGCTGCAGTGGTCACAGCCCTGTATAATCTGGTCCAGAAGCTGCTGCAAGGTTTCTGACGCCCCGTGTAAACCGAATGGCATCACTGTGAATTGGAGCAGCCGTGAAGGGGTCTGGAAAACTGTGTACGGCCGACTTCAATCCTCTGAAGCAGTTTGAGGACTTGATGATGTCCAGCCGCTGCCTTTCCTTTACCTCCATCTTGAGCTTTTCCACCAAGTGTTGATCGAACTGCCTTCTTTTAGCCGGTTGAGATCCTCCTCCAAAGTTGTCTTCCCTGGGTTGGCAGCAAGTAGAGAGGGAATGCCGTCAAATACTTTGAATAGTTGTTCAGCTAGCTCTCTGTTGACATGGTACTACTGGCCCAGTCCTTCAGATCCAGTGTCCTCTTCTCCCCCCTTCGGTCCGCTCACATGCTACACCAGAAGCGACGTGACTGACCCTTCCTGCTCTTTCCATTCTTTACATAAGTCTGCTTCTGTTTCTTTTTGTCTGGATAATGAATCTTGTACGTCACTGGTCACATTTTTTTGATGAAGGTGTTACTTGGCCAATAGCTTGCAATTTCAGGAGGGAAGGAGAAAAAGGACCCTCTGGCCTAGTTGAAACTCACGGTGCCTCGCCTGCTGGTCATACCAGGTCTTCTGGCTTGTCTGGGTCTCAGTGAGGTTATGTGTTGCTTCTTCCTGGTTTTTTGTCAACCGTTTCCTTATCTCTAGCATATACCGTATAATACTTAGGTCACACAACACCAAATAATGATGCTATTTTACCATGCTGTGATTGAGAGTGTGGTATGTGTGTGTTGTTTGGGAATTGAACTGTTAAAATAAAAGCAGAACACCAATTGTTGCGCACACCCCCCTCCCCACCATTTTCAGACATTTTTTAAGAGGCTCCAGGAGCCACTCGAGGAGCACTAAAGAGCCGTGGGTTGAACTGCCACTATTCAAAAATGCTTCAATCAGGATCCCAAATCCTCTGTTGCAGCACCATTCTGGTCCCTGGAGCAATTGCGACCGCTTTGTAGTGAATGACAGCAGTTCCCACCACTCCTACATTTCAGGTGAAATGTCAAACTTTGTGAGGAGTGCTTCCTTTAGATCCGGATGTGAATGGGCCTTGGCGCGTGTCTGGGCGCAGAGACTTTCCGCCGTCTCCACTTGGCCTTCCAATGTGGAAAAATTGGGTGTAGCCGCTGGCGTGGTACTGGGGTAGGAAGGTCTACCTGAGGGCTAACTGCAATCCAAGTTGAAGAGGATGCAGAGAGCTGTCTGTGACAGTGAAGACCTCAGCCCTCGCAGTTCTGCATGCATGGTTTCCTCCCTACTCTGTTGACCTTGCAGCATAACAGCCTATAGTTCCTCACCCACTCCTGCAGGCCCTGGTTGGCCTTGAGTAGAGGGACCAGGGTTGTCATCCTTCAGCATTCTTCCTCTTTTGGAAGTGACACAAAGGTGAAAAAGTAAGTAGTGGATTAAATTCAATCAACACCTGACACGTGATCCACCCACAATAATAAAAATCATACAGAAATGAAATAGATATAAAATAGGTGCAGATAGATGCGTAATTTCAAAAGACATTTAGGTGAGGATAATCAACCAGACACATAATTATCAACTCCACAAAAACGTATTAATATCTATTCATAGTGTGTCTGTAAGTAAGTGTAATCTGTTCCCGCTTGTGGAATTAGACAAAATAGGTCTACGATTGGCCAAAGGGACAAGAAACATATTTGCCACTGTTCTTTCATAAACCATACATTTGAAATTAATATAGCCTTATTTGATTGCCTTATTGTTTTTGTACAAATAAACGTTCCTTGCCTTGATATTATAGACAAATGCTGCTTGTCCCTTTGGCAAACATCTGATTACCTTTTGCATTATGACCTGATGTTGCTCTTTGGCAACTAAATTTTGTATTTGTCCTTTCTTGCAGAGGGCACCAGTCCCAGAAATGGTAAGTAATAGTCGGTTTTCGCACAAACATAAATGTAAGAAATAAACAAAAGCATTATGCTGAGAAATTTCAGCTGTTTATTTTCCATTTTCCAGTAAATACAGAAAACAGAAGCAAGAAGTATTCAAAATAAAGTTGAATGTCCTCCTTTACCTATCATTATGAATACCAATTCAAAAGAAGTCCTAAAGGAATTATTAGCACATTTATTCATCAAACAGGGAGGACATTTCAGTGTTGCATCACCAGTTACAGAACAGTAGGAATGAGGAGCACTGAGCAAAAGATAAGTGAACAAAAACTCTATTCTAAAAGAAAAGAAAATCTCTAACTTTAGCATATTAAAGAAGCAAGTCTAAAATATCCAACTATAGCATAATAAAGAAGTATACAATCTCTTAATCTTAGCATAATAAAGAAGCAAGTATGAAATACTTAATATTCAAGTACAGGAAATATATAGTTGTAGGGATTAGGGCTGGGACAATGCATCGACGAAATCGATTAAGTCGACGCAAAAAATACGTCGATACAATAAATGCATGTCGATGCGTCATACTCATAACAAAGATGGCAGCGAGCTGTAGCAGTAGTTGTAGAAGCAGCAGAGGCTAAGGGTGTTCAGACCAGAAGTCCTGGGCTCACAGATTTAAACTAGCGAAGTTATGCTAGCGGAGCTAGCAGAGTTATGCTAGTGGCTTTTTTGTGTAAAGTTCTTCTCCAAAAGGCAGCTCTGCAGGGTCTTCTTTGCCTTTCCTTGCCATGCCATTGTGTTTGTCTTCAGAGATTCGCTTGGGGAGACAGAGCCTGGAGTCTCTGGTGCAGTGTGGTATCCCTAACATGGACCTCATGGATGAGGAGGAGACGCAGGAGAGAGGTAGAGGAAGCCGCAGGAAGAGGGTGGTCGGAGGGGTGCCTTCCAAACCGGTAAGCATCCAACACATGCAGTATGTAGGGATGTTTGCTGGCACTAAGTGTGAGGTCACATTTTGGACATGGCCGCAAAATTGGTTGGTAGAAAGAAAACATCAACATGTCTCATACTTTAAAGCAGTTTATGTAATTATATTAAAGTTGCACTAACTGACTTTGAGAAATTTTCGAATGATAACGCTGAGCTCGCGCTCCCTGCTCGCCTTCCCCGCACGGAGCTTTCGTACCCCCCCTCCGCCTCAGCCTCTGCTCATGCTAACTGTATATGGGGCTCACGTCTCACAATATGGACACATTTGAACCTGGATGGTGTGCGCGGAGGAACGATACTTTCTTTAGGATGGCTGTTTCGCTGTGTAAGCAGTAACTGGTAACGAAGACACGGGAAGCTTCAGATTAGCCTCCGCCGCTTGTTTACCTCCGCTGTCTGTGCTAACGAGAGACCTGTGGCTTTTCTCAAGAAAGTGGGGGCCAGTGGTCCGCTGTGATTGGTCACAATCGGGACCCAAAACACATTCTCTTCCTTGTTTCACGAAAACTCGATCTAAAATTAAATGACACGCTAGCACAAATCTGCGCTACTTTTTCTTCAAAAGGACGTATATCTCAATGCACTGCATAGATATGGATTGAAATTTCATAATGAATACAAAAATAAAGTCATTTATGCAGCTTTAATTTATGCAAATTCTTTGATTAAAGATAAACAGTGAAGCTAAAATATAACAGGGTTTCTGTTTTCTGCCTGATCCATATCACCTGAGTGAGAATTGGTGTTTGCCTCCAACAAGGCTGCCCTTTGTCTGGGCATGTGATGCCAACCACTGGATCACATGATTGCATGTTGACATCACGGCAAACATTCCTATTCAAGATAGCACAGTCCCACAGGCTGACACGAGCCTCAATGTGTCCGGCAGCACCAGATCCAATGGCAGGTGGCACTGGTGGACACGGGGAAGATCGACTGTGGAGGGGCATACATCGGCAGCTGCTGGATCCTGACGGCGGCTCACTGTGTCAGGTGAAATAACTGAGGATTTTTTTGTTTTAAATGACTTATCATTTTTGGCCTTTAAAATTATAATAAGACCATTTACTTGGTGTTATAAGTGGGAATTAATATGTGGTTGAATGGTTTAAACGCATGATGCATAGTCTCGAACGGAATGAGGCACAGAGTGTGTTAAAATCATACAACCGCACTGCTCCTTGTTGTTTAATCCGCTTATACAATGGTCAATCAGTGACGTCGCCCGGCATGGCGCAGCCGGGGCCCCACCCTGGAGCCAGGCCTGGGGTCGGGGCTCGTATGCGAGCGCCTGGTGGCCGGGCCTTAGCCCACGGGGCCCGGCCGGGCTCAGCCCGAATGAACGACGTGGGCAGTCCCTCCTGTGGGCCCACCACCCGCAGAGGGGTCCGTGGTGGCGAAGCAGTGCAGAGAGGACTGGGCAGCGGTCGAAGGCGGAGACCTCGGCGACCCAGTCCGCACACACAACAGCTGGCTCTTGGGACGTGGAACGTCACCTCACTGGGGGGGAAGGAGCCCGAGCTCGTGGGGGAGGTCGAGCGATACCGACTAGAGATAGTCGGCCTCACCTCCACACACAGCTTGGGCTCTGGAACCCAACTCCTTGAGAGGGGTTGGACGCTCCACTTTTCTGGAGTTTCCCGCGGGGAGAGGCGGCAAGCTGGGGTGGACATTCTCATTGCCCCCCATCTCAGCCGCCACGTGTTGGAGTTCTCCCCGGTGAATGAGAGGGTCGCGTCCCTCCGCCTCCGGGTGGGGGACAAGTCTCTCATTGTTGTGACGGCCTACGGGCCTAACAGCAGTGCAGAGTACCCGGCCTTCTTGGAGTCCTTGGGAGAGGTACTGGAAGGTGCACCGCCCGTGGACTCCGTTATTCTCCTAGGGGACTTCAACGCCCATGTGGGAAACGCCAGCGACACTTGGAGAGGGGTGATCGGGAAGAGCGGCCCCCCTGATCTGAACCCGAGCGGTGTTCAGTTGTTGGACTTCTGTGCCAGTCACAGTTTGTCCATCACGAACACCATGTTCGAGCACAAGGGTGTCCACCAGTGCACGTGGCACCAGGACACCCTAGGCCGGAGGTCGATGATCGACTTTGTTGTCGTATCATCTGACCTTCGACCGCGTGTCTCGGACACTCGGGTAAAGAGAGGGGCGGAGCTGTCAACCGATCATCACCTGGTCGTGAGTTGGATCCGCTGGCAGGGGAAGAAGCCGGTCAGACCTGGCAGACCCAAGCGTATAGTGAGGGTCTGCTGGGAACGTCTCGCTGAGCCCCCTGTCAGACGGACTTTCAACTCACACCTCCGGGAGAGTTTCTCCCAGGTCCCGGCGGAGGAGGGGGACATGGAGTCCGAGTGGACCATGTTCTCTGCCTCAATCGCCGATGCGGCGGCTCGTAGCTGTGGTTGCAAGGTCTCTGGTGCTGGTCCCGGCGGCAACCCCCGAACCCGGTGGTGGACACCGGCAGTAAGGGATGCTGTCAGGCTGAAGAAGGAGTCCTATCGAGCCATGATGGTTCGGGGGACTCCTGAGGCAGCTGTCCAGTACCGGCAGGCCAAGCCAATGGAGTGGCAGACCGGGGTGGTGGTCCCTCTCTACAAGAAGGGGGACCGGAGGGTGTGTTCCAATTATCGTGGGATCACACTCCTCAGCCTCCCCGGTAAGGTCTACTCCAAGGTACTGGAGAAGAGGCTACGGCCGATGGTCGAATCTCGGATTCAGGAGGAGCAGTGTGGTTTTCGTCACGGTCGCGGAACACTGGACCAGCTCTATACTCTCCATCGGATACTCGAGGGTTCATGGGAGTTCGCCCAACCTGTCCACATGTGCTTTGTGGATTTGGAGAAGGCGTTTGACTGTGTTCCCCGGGGTGTCCTTTGGGGGGTTCTCCGGGAGTACGGGGTCGGAGGTCCTCTGCTGAGGGCCATCCGATCCCTGTATGACCGGAGCCAGAGCTGTGTTCGCATTGCCGGCAGTAAGTCAGACCTGTTCCCGGTGAATGTTGGCCTCCGACAGGGCTGCCCTTTGTCACCGGTTCTGTTCACTGTATTTATGGACAGAATATCTAGGCGCAGCCAGGGGTCGGAGGGGGTCCGGTTCGGAGACCACAGGATTTCATCTCTGCTGTTTGCGGACGATGTTGTCCTGTTGGCTCCAACGAACCAGGACCTGCAGCATGCACTGGGGCGGTTTGCAGCCGAGTGTGAAGCGGCTGGGATGAGAATCAGCACCTCCAAATCCGAGGCCATGGTGCTCGACCGGAAAAAGGTGCCTTGCCCTCTGCAGGTGGGTGGAGAGGTCCTTCCTCAAGTGGAGGAGTTCAAGTATCTCGGGGTCTTGTTCACGAGTGAGGGAAGAATAGAACGTGAGATTGACAGGCGGATCGGTGCAGCGTGCGCAGTGATGCGGTCGCTGTATCGGACCATTGTGGTAAAGAGGGAGCTGAGCCGAAAGGCAAAGCTCTCAATTTACCGGTCAATCTTCGTTCCCTCCCTCACCTATGGTCATGAGCTTTGGGTAATGACCGAAAGAACGAGATCGCGGATACAAGCGGTCGAAATGAGCTTCCTCCGCAGAGTGGCTAGACGCTCCCTTAGAGATAGGGTGAGGAGCTCAGTCACACGGGAGGAGCTCGGAGTAGAGCCGCTGCTTCTCCACGTCGAGAGGAACCAGTTGAGGTGGCTCGGGCATCTGTTCCGGATGCCTCCTGGACGCCTCCCTGGGGAGGTGTTCCGGGCAGAAGAAAATGGATGGAATGGATGGATGGATGGACCATACATATTATATATATATTATATAAAATACATAACATAACATACAGCATAATATATAACATAATATACAACATAACACAATACACAACATTATACATATGTATAATATTTAACATAATACAGCATATATATATAATATATACACCATATATTATATATTACCTAATTATATGCTAAATTAAAGTAGAGTGCTTTAAGCCTGGCCTTGAATGTGGAGACCGTATCTGCTTCCTTAACATAAATGGGAAGCTGATTCCACAGTAAAGGAGCTTGGTAGCTAAATGCTCTGCCGCCAACAGTGATTTTTGAGACCTTAGGAACCACCAGACATCTGGCGTTTTGTGAGCGCAACGCTCGACTTGGTTGATATGACACTAACTTGTCTTGGAGATAGGAAGGAGCCAAGCCATTATCTAATATTAATATATATAATATTGCACGCCCCACTTTTCAGTTTTTTATTTGTTAAAAAAGTTTAAATTATTCAATAAATTTTGTTCCACTTCACAATTGTGTCCCACTTGTTGTTGATTCTTGACAAAAAATTTAATTTTTATATCTTTATGTTTTTATATCTTTATATATATAAGATATATATATATATATATATATATATATATATATATATATATATATATATATATATATATATATATATATATATATATATATATATGTATTAGTTCTGTCAGTTTAATGCAGTCCTTCTCAATAATGGGGCGGGCCCTAGGGAGACGTACGTCATGTGAACTATAGGCCTTTCATATGTCTTTGTGTGAGCTTTGTTTCCTTTGTTTCTGTTGTTTCCACCGTCCCTGTATATGATTTGTGTGTCCTCTTTTCCAATGGAACTTGGCTGCTGCTTCGCCTGGGTCAGAATTGCTCTGGATGAGGCTATTTATTTATTTATTTATGGACATGTTATTGCAGGATAAACCCCATGAGATGTATCATCTCGTTTTCGTGGGGGGTCCTCATGATCATATCCAAAGAACATAGAATAGCAGAGTAGATACAGTCAAGTAAAAATAAAACAAAAACAAAATAATTATTTAACAATAAAAATAAAAAAAATCCTCTGAAAGTCATTTCAGAATCAGAATCATTTTTATTGCCATGTTAATAACAAGAACTCACAGACTAGGAAATTGCTTTGGCTCGGTGCAACAGTCAAAGAAGAATAGAGTAAGGCATAATAAAAATCAGCATACACTTCTAAGGTATAACAATTCAAATACAATTATTACAATCACAATTACTATATGCAACATACAAGTGCACATGGTGCACACAATATGCAGTAAGCAGTGCAATAAGGTGACAGCAGTAAAGTGAAGTTATGATAGGCAGTAAAGTGACTTTATAAAGGGCAGTAAGGTGACTTTATAAAGGGTGAGGGGACAGGTTATGAAGTGTTAATGAGTTCAACAGCACAGGGGAAGAAACTGTTCTTATGGTGGGAGGTTCTGGTCCGAATGGGCCGTAGTCTCTTGCCCGAGGGGAGAGGTTGGAACAGTCTATGGGCAGGGTGAGAGGGGTCGGCTGTGATACAACCAGCCCGGCCTCGAGCTCGGGCGTTGTAGAGGTCCTGTAGCGATGGGAGGCTGCAGCCGATCACCTTCTCTGCATAGCGCATAATGCTCTGTAGTGATGGAGGAGGTGAGGATGGACTCGATGATGGCCGTGTAGAACTGCACCAACATCTGTGTAGGCAGCTTGGCTTTCCTGAGCTGCCACAGAAAGTACATCCTCTGCTGGGCCTTCTTGAGGAGGAAGCTGAGGGTTGGCTCCCACTTGAGTTCCTGAGTGATGGTGGTGCCCAGGAAACGAAAGGACTCTACAGAGGTGATGGGGGAGTCCATCAGGGTGGGAGGGGGTGGGGGCGGGAGGACTGTGCTCTTCCTGAAGTCCACAAGAATCTCTACTGTCTTCTGGGCGTTCAGCTCCAGGTTGTTACCACTGCACCAGGACACCAGCCGGTCAAACTCCCTCCTCATCGTTGATGGAGATGAGTCCAATGAGGGTGGTGTCGTCTGCGAATTTGATGAGCTTAACGGAGTTGTGGCTGGACGTGCCGTGGTTGGTGTACAGGGAGAAGAGCAGATATCCTGGGCTGTATCCGAATGTCCACACTATACCCTATCCACTCACTCACTATATAGTTCGGGACTATATAGTGACTGAGTGAGTGAGTCAGTGCACTCATTCTGTTGGCGATTCGGACACATGCACACTATTTTTAGCCGTGGCCCGCATCACACCCGGTCATTGGATCAATATACTTTTAAATATATTTATATATAAATATAAGTATATTAAAATATCAATCTTTGTCTAATATACATGTATAAAATGTTTTTACAATATATTTATATACTGTATGAATTTTGGTTGACTGATTTGGTTAACGTCCCTCATATTCCCTATGGGAGCTGGTAGCTCTTCGGGACCACGACTATTAATTAAATGTTTGAATAATCTGTGTTTTGGCCTATTTAAATAAAAACAAAAACAATTGAATATGTAAATATATATATATATATATATATATATAAAATGCAATCGTTTTAACAACGATTAACAGACACAGAGGAGAAATATAAAGTGTTTCTGCATTGTTTGACACAATACATATTTAGCATGTTTACCAACTCATTTAATCATCCTGCTGTATAACACACTTTAAAAGTAAATGTGCAATGTCCAGGTGCTCAACAGCAGTGGTCAGTGGTTAGCACTAACTCACAGCAGAGATGTCCTGTGTTCGATTCCACCTTCATCACAGGGCCTTTCCCCTACCACTATATGAGCACCTGGGCTGGTGGCCATTTTGTTTATTGCGCTCCAAAATAGACAAAGGAATGATGAAGGCTATAATGGCTGAAATGTCAGTAAATGAATAATATTTATTCTTCTATTCATAATCTATTTGGAATACCCTCCATTCTTCCATACATATTCTTCCCTATTTCTGGGTTGGGAGGGTGGCAATCAGCTGCACCCAGTTCACTGAGCACCAGCTCCTCACTGATCCTGCAGGTGGTGAGTCCACAAGGAGGTTGCTCTGTCTTTCAGTGGGGGCTTCAGGCATAGTGGGGTTAAGTGTCTTGCCCAATCAATCAATCAATACAATTTTATTTATAGAGCCCTTTACAAGACACAAGGCGACCACAGTGCTTTACAATTAAATCACATAAAATCTGTTAAAAACATTTATACAACCAAACAATAAAACAGTCAGATAAAACCATGAGAAACTACAGTGTTGCCGTGCTACTGAGTATTAAAAGCCAGTCTGAATACATATGTCTTAAGACATATTAAGTGATTGCTGTCTGCTATCATTGTGCCCAAGGACACAAAGGCCTTCAGGCTCAAAGGCCAATGCTCTACCAACTGAGCTACTGTTGCCCCATACCCACCCTTGAATACCCACTTGTTTTGTGATTGTTCTCTCACATTTGCACGTCATCAAGAGCTTTTTGGTGTGTTATACAAACGATAAGCGCTAAAATGAACAGAAATAATTGAACGCATGTATTTTCAAATGGATCAAAGTAATGATTTATGCACTTAAGGCAATTATGTTTTTTTTTTTTGTGGCAGACCTCAACCTTCTGCATTCATGGTGAAGTTCTCTCTATGGAAGAAGAACCGCGCTCAGACCACGACTGACATAGTCCCAGTGGAGCAGATCCACATCCACCCACAGTACGTAGAAACATGTCATTATTAACATCAATGTGATATTGATTTGGAATTATTAATATCATAAGCAGTATAATTTTTTCAAACATAGGACTGACTCTTTTTTTACTTTACCTGCTTATAATACCATTAGACAGAGCGTAATTACAATGCGATTTATTAGACAGATTTTACAGAAACAGATCATATTGTACATAAAAGAGGAAAAATACCTTTTATAGAACAATTAAATACTGGACCGGCGGCAACCACTTTAAGAACCCTTGTTAAATGTCCCACCTGGCGTAAAAATTTAATGTGGCATATCTTAGTGCTGGACTCCACCGGCCGCGTCTCAGTTTACGCACGTAGGCTGCAGCCCGTCAGACGTGCGTAAAACGGAATAGTGGCCATACCGGCAGCAGCAGTGCGCAGCTCTGGCTGTGCCAGCAAAGCTGAGAACATTGCGTGTTTAGGGCAATGTTAGACCATTCAAATAAAAGACGCGGTGTGTAATTGGCATGAGCTGTGTGATTGGACGTGTTGTGAGATCTGTCTATCTCATACTGTAAGTGCAGTAGCTCTGTGGGAACGTGTGTGTGTGTGTGTGGAGGCGCACGGCGGTGACGGGAGCGCGCCTCGAGGTAGACAGAGACTGGGAGAGCGGAGTGTATGTAAAGTTTGGCGTGAGAGCGAGTACGTCCGGAGCAAGACAGGGAACGAGTGCATCACGGTATGTTGGATTGGGATAAACATAAAGCCCCACTCTTGAGCAACAGTCCGGAGAGTCCTTGAAACTACACCACACTTTGACAGTGAGGGTCAAACTGAGAAGGGAGCATCCCTTCGGCCCTGGAGCAACGGATCTCCCCTGCGCTCCTCGACCACGGTCGGGGGGCTTAAAACAGGAAAGGCGTAACAGACGTCACATTGGAATGTGAACAATTGAATGGGGGAGGCTCCTCGTCCTGTGGTCCATACATGTATAATAATGTAGTAAATATATTTTTCCTTTGGATTTCCAATGGAAACTGACCATAAGCACGTCGACGTACGTAAAAAATAGGATTGTTTCTATTTTGTCCGTCCGTGTCCGTTGCACCCTGCGTGGACTCACTGCTCCCTACACGCGTCATACGGACGCATGTTGCGGGCAGTGGAGCCACTTCCATTCCCCCTCATGGAGAAAACAGAGACGGAGACGAAACGGACACGTTTGGACTGATACGTAGTACATTTACGCAGCCGGTGGAGGTGTGGCCTTATACCAGGAGTCCCCAACTGACAGACCGCGGTCCAAATCTGGACCCCGAAAGCCTTTCCTCTGGACCTGTATGATTTTTTTGTTCAAAAGTGCATTATTTAAAGTAAATGTCAAATTTTCAACGAAAGCAATTTCAATCTGGAGAGACTCGAACGGGTATTAGAATTGTATGTTGGTTGGCAGGTAATCTGACACTGCATAATTACACAAATGACACTAAAGACATTATTTTCAAGATTACATTTATTGTGCTGAACAGAATGTGGTTGGGATTTAGCACTTAGACCCCGGCAGAGCACTACACATTTGCAGAAGGGGAAAGAGATTATGAGATGAAATCCCCCAAAAGGAAGGTGCCGGAATGAATGATTACCTGAAGATATTTGTTCTATGGCGGCAGCGAAGGCCTACAGGAATGACGTGAGGCTGCTGATGCAGTAAGCAATTATTTGTGCTGCGGGAAGTGACGTAAGCGGATACTACAGTTCATCACAGGAATAACTGAATCGTTAGTGTCCTTAAATGTCCTGGATCATCACCGCTGTTCTTTTTGTTTGACCCATAGGGAGTCCAAAAGACCCTCCTGCAAGGAAAAACTCAAAAACCCAGTGGGAAAAAATGAGAAACCTTGGGGAGACCCACATTTTGAGAGAGGGATCCGCTCCACACGTACGGACGGGCTATAGATCCAGGACTAATGCAATTCGTAGAATATATGAAGCGTGTGGCCACCGGCGTGGCGTCGAAGCGTTTGACCACTGGCGTGGCGTTGAAGCGTGCGGCCACCGGCGTGGCGTCGAAGCATGCGGCCACTGCCGTGGCGTTGAACAGCGGCCACTGCCGTGGCGTTGAACAGCGGCCACCGGCGTGGCGTCAAACAGCGCCCACTGGCGTGGCGTCAAAGCGCGTGGCCACTGGCGAGGCGTTGAAGCGCGTGGCCACTGGCGAGGCATCGAACAGCGGCCACTGGCGTGGCGTTGAATCGCGTGGCCACTGGCGAGGCGTAGAAGCGCGTGGCCACTGATGTGGCGTCGAAGCTTGCGGCCACCGGCATGGCGTTGAAGCGTGCAGCCACCAACGTGGTGTCAAACAGCGGCCACCGACGTAGCATCGAAGCGTGCGGCCACCGGCGTGGTGTCAAACGGCGGCCACCACGTGGCATCGAACAGCGGCCACCGGCGTGGTGTTGGAGGGTGAGGCGAGGCGTCGGAGCGTGCGGCCACAGGCGTGGGTCAATTAGGAGAGCGGGCCACCGACAAGTGGGCCACCGTCAAAGTGTGCTACCATAGAAGCCTGCCATAAACACCGCCGTTGTCAAACGCACCGCTGAAACAGTCTACCGACGAAGCAGTGCACCATGCACCCCAGAAACCACGGTCACACCGCATTAACGCCGAAAGGAGGACCGCCAGAGGACCGCACCAGAAGCAGAACCACCGCCAAAATAACCAACCGCGATGACGCGAACCAGCGTCAAACGGACACCCCCGGGTCCGAATCGGTTCGTGTGTGATGTGTACGGTTTGCGTGATTTTGCCGTGTGGCTGCGCACCGCACACTTTACGACCAAAGAAGTTAGACCCTTGATTATTTATCTCCGGCCGACAATTTTAAAATCGTCTCGTTTGAACTAGGCTTTACTGTGTGTGATTGTGTTTAGTGAGTACTGCTGTTTGCACTACTACACCTCTGCTATCAATTATGGCCAGCTACTAGCTGTGTACTGTGTAGTGCAGGCTGCTGTTCGCGTCTGCTCCCACATCTCTACAACTGTGCTGCCACTTGCAATGGCATGTGTCACTGTATGGTGAGAAATGAGCATACACAATCCCCCAGTGTTGGACTGAATTTAGTTCTAGGCGCTATTGCACACTATTACAAAGGCTTTTCTCTGGCAGGGCACTCCTCCAATCTGGCTGCTTTTGTATATGGCACCATTCTGTGGGTTTCTCTGTTCACTGTGGTATTCTCCTTCCCAACACAAGATTTGTAGTTGACAATGCTTTGATATTACTGTCTTTGCTAGTTTGTGGTATGTGGAGGTTGCTGGTATATTTCACCACCTTAGCTGGGTGTTGTGAATACATTTTTCATGGGACTCTGCATGGCCGGTCAAGCACATGCCGTGCAACTGAGATTGCTGAACCCTGGTAGGGGCTCATGGAAGGTCTCCTTCCTCTGCTTATTGTCCAGTATTACCCTGTTTTTTTTGACAACTGACTATCAGCTGTTCAGTGTCTTTCATGGTTGATCCTGTGGCCTCCCGCTCGGTACGTTTCACCTTAGATCATATGGGTTCCCGTTGATTATGATGTAAAAAACTATGAATTTTCATGACCGACCACAGATCCTCATTGATCAAAGAGCACTGTTGTGTCCCAATATTGCCCAGCATCCTCAGTTTAATTCCTGTTTGAGCACTATTTAGATAACTCGTATAAACATCTGGTGAACTCCAGTGAAACTCAAGCCGATCCCTGCGCACCGGAAGTCAACTGTCGTTTTAACTAAAACACGAAAGTGGTGTGTGCATAGAGCCCATTCTAGATAGATAGATAGCTAGATACTTTATTGATCCCCATAGGAGAAATTCAGGTATAACAGCAAAAATAAAAGAAACAGCCCTTCAAGTCACAGCAGCAGATATAGAGTAATCGCTGGGTGGAGCAGGATGGGTCACAGCAACAGATGTGGAGTAGCTGGGTGGAGCAGGACGGGTCACAGCAACAGAGATGGAGTAGCTGGGTGGAGCAAGGCGGGTCACAACAGCAGAGGTGGAGTAGCCGCTGGTTGGAGCAGGACAGGTCACAAGGTGGAGTAGTGCAGTAATTTGTCAGAATTCCCCCGCCCCAGAAGCTGCAGACAGGCCGCACAGCCCGTTTCGTTCTGCAGGCCCTTTTAGTTCAACAAGAGACAAAAACCAATGTTAAAACAGTAAATAGAAATGACAGATACCAAACCTGATTTCAAAAGGTTATATTGAAGATTTGCAAGCAATATTACAATATTAACGGTCTGCGAACACAAGTCTCGCTTCGCGTCCAAAATAAGGAGTGGCCTCGGGGACGTCTCACTGCTCCTTGTCAGAAGAAAAAGCAAAAAGTTTCCGTGACCACTTCTGCACATCCCTTTATACTATACATCCAAGGTCAAATGACATCACAACTGTATGGACTCCACGACTCCTTCTGGCCAGCTGCCAACGTTTGGCACCTGCTCTGATAACCACTCTTGTCTCCCTCCCATTTCACACAGACTAACCTTGAACTAACTGCTCTTTGAGATTTACACAAACAAGTGCTGTATAAACCTAATAATTTCTGATGTTTAAGTTGTTTAAATATTAATTTAGCAACAGAAACAATACTAAACTGATTTTAGTTTTAACTAGTGCAGGCGGCCTATAATATTCCAACAGTAGCCGCTTGGTTCGGACCATTTTCTCTGCTCTAATCCAAGATAAAAGGCTAACTGCTTCATACTACACATGCGCGGGCGGGAGCCGGCTGCAAGTTGCATCGCTCTCCCTTTTTCTTCTCACTTTTTTACTTTTTAGCCACTGATTTTTTTCTTTTTTGGTAACTGCTGTTATAATCCAGCCGTGTGAAGCTAGTGCCCACTTAGGAAGTGAGACACGCCGTGTTTTTTCCACCGTTTTCCTCATCATAAACGTGGATTATACCTGTGGGAGATGTGCCCACGCGCTCCCATTGTTTGTCTCCCGGAGAGCCCTCCGCTCTCCGTGGCAGCGCCGGGTGTAAACACACTATTCCTGAGATTCTACGGAAAACACCCAGGGGATGGAAGGTACGAGGGAGAAAGAGATCCAGACCTGCGGTGCCTGCCGTGATCACCGGGAATGTGAGGTCTCTGTCCAATAAGACTGACGAACTGGCTGCACTGACGCGCTACCAGCGGGAGTACCGTGACGCCAGCTTCCAGGTATTTACAGAAACATGGTTAGAACCGCGGACAGTGGAAAGAGGAGAGGCGGAGGGCTAGCCGTGTTTGTGAACAACAGCTACGGCAAGCCGGAGCACTGCACTGTGAAACGCCAGGTGTGTGAGAAAGACATTGAACTTCTTGCCATTGGTGTGCGGCCATACTATCTGCCGCGGGAGTTTGGGCATGTTATTCTCATAGCTGTCTATGTCCCTCCATCTGCAAAAGCAGACAGTGCGTGTGATGCTCTGCTCTCCACTGTCGGTGACCTGCAGACGCAGCACCCGCAGGCCTTATTTATTATTACTGGGGACTTCAACCACACAATATGTCCCCTGTCCCACTAGAGGAGACAACATATTGGATCTGTTCTTCAGCAATGCCAAGGACGCAGGCCTGTCTACAAACCATTAGTGCACAGGCAGCCGTGGTGAGGCGCTCGATACGTACATGGAATACAGACACTGTTGAGGCCCTCCGGGATTGTTTTGAAAGGACCCTATGGGACGAGCTCTGTGACCCCCATGGGCAGGACATTAATGGCATGACGGAGTGTATCACAGGATAAACTTCTGCTTTGAGAACACATGCGGTGCTTTGCCAACAACAAGCCATGGATTAATTCCGACGTAAAGGCTCTGCTGAAGGCAAAGAAGCGCGCTTTTCGATCTGGGAACAAAGAGGAGCTGAGGGACGTACAGAGACATCTGAGAACATCAGTGAGGGAGGCCAAAGCTCGATACAGGGGCAAAATGGAAGAGCAGCTAAGCAGAAAAAACGTTAAAGGTGTTTGGGACAATCTGAAGACCATCTCGAGGTTCAAACCAAAACCTGTTCCGCTGGTGGAGAACAGACAATGGGTTAACGACTTGAACACGTTTTACCTGCGGTTCAATCAACTACCCACCCCACCCCCTGCTTTGCTGCTGCCCACCCCTGCTGGAGAACAATGCCCCCCAGACGTGGTCGTTAACACCAGGGCCCACACCTCTCAGCTCTCTCCCACCACCAGCCTGCAGCCCCCACCCCTGTCATTCACTGCTGCACAGGTCAGAATGGAGCTGCTTAAAATCAAGCCAAGGAAAGCCTGTGGACCAGATAACATCAGCTCCAGGCTCCTTGGCTCCTGCGCAGATGAACTCTGCGGAGTGATGGAGCGCGTCTTCAACCTAAGCCTCAGGCTGAGGTCGGTACCACAGCTCTGGAAGACGTCCTGTGTTGGTACCAGTGCCTAAAAAAACACGGGCCAAAGACCTCAGCGACTTCAGGCCAGTGGCTCTAACATCCCACTGCTGAAGACACTGGAGAGACTGGTCCTGGGACATCTCCGCTCCACTCTGACCTCCAGCGATGGACCCGCTGCAGTTTGCCTACCGACCGGCATCGGGAGTTGAGGACGCCATCATCTCCCTCCTCCATCGCTCGCTGTCCCACCTAGAGAAACCCAGCTCCGCAGTGAGGATTCTGTTCTTCGACTTCTCCAGCGCCTTCAACACCATCCAGCCGAGGATTCTCAGGGACAAGCTGGAGACAGCTGGAGTGGACTACAACCTGTCCGAGTGGATACTGGACTACCTCACAGACAGACCCCAGTTTGTGAGAACCAGGGACTTTCTGAGGTCCGACCTGCAGTGTGGGGGCCCCCCAGGGACGGTCCTCCGCGCCGTTCCTCTTCACCCTCTACACTTCGGAATTTCAGACACAACTCTGACGGTTGTGTCCTCCAGAAGTTCTCCGAGGACAAACTCTCGACATTCATCGGACTCAGCTCCTGAGGACGATGACACAGAGTACGAGGAGTTATACTGGACTTTGTGGACTGGTGTCAGAGGAAACCCTCACTCATCAAGCGGGGAGGACCCAAGGAGATGGTGGTGGATTTCCGCAGACGTCCCTCTGCAGCTCCAGCCCCAGTGAAAAATCCAGGAAAGACATCGAGAGAGCTGGACTCTGAAAAGTACCTGGGTGTTCATCTTAAACCCACAAACTGGACTGGAATCATAACACAGATAGCCCTCTTCAAGAAGCGGCCAGGGGCAAAAAAGGTCGCCTCTACCTGCTGAGGCGGGTCAGGTCTTTTGGAGTGCGGGGCCCACTCCTGAAGACCTTCTTGACTGCTGTGAGTGTCATCAGCCATCGTGTACGGTGTGGTTGGGCTGGAGCAGCATCATCACAGAAGGGGAAGGAAGAAGCTGGACAAGGTCATCAGCGAGTCCAGCTCAGTCCTGGGCTGTTCCCTGGACAAAGTGCAGCAGGTGGGGGACAGGAGGAGTCCTGAGCAAACTAACATCTATGCTGGACCATGACAGTCACCCCCTGCATGACAAATCTCTCTGCTTGGAGAGCAGCTTCAGTTACCAAACTAATTCATCCTCGCTGTGTGAAGGAGAGGTTTCGCAGGTTCTCCTCACTGCTGCTGTCAGTCTGTACATACGAGAATGTGTAACATGAACTCGCTGAGTCTGCCACAAGTGTCACTGATAGATCACTATAGAAACTGTCACTAGCCACTTAACTGCTGTTAGTCTTAACTGTACTATTGTTCGATATCTATTATCGATACTTATTCTGTCAATATGCATTTTCCCATATTCTCCGCTGCTAAAGTACATAGACATCTGTAAATACTTTTGAACCAAGTGCAATATTAAAACCCCCCCCCCCACAGAGTTTCTTTTATGTTGACCTCTGTTATTGCCAACAAAGGTTACATTACAAAGTACTAAGTTGAATTTTTGTTATTGACCAAATACTTATTTTCCACCATAATTTACAAATAAATTCTTTAAAAATCCTACAATGTGAATTCCTGATTTTTTTTTTCACATTCTGTCTCTCACAGTTGAAGTGTACCTATGATGAAAATTACAGACCTCTGTCATTATTTTAAGTGGGAGAACTTGCACAATCGGTGGCTGACTAAATACTTTTTTGCCCCACTGTATAGTTTAAACTAGGGAAATCTGATTCATATTCTGAGACATAAATGAACCTGAGTATGTCATATAGGGCTCACTCCACACTAAACTGTACCAATGTGTTACATTTTGGACACAAAAAAGTCCCGAAATGTCTGCGGCCGTTACTGCTGAATGTTCGCAGCACCCACTCTAGTTTGTTTCCAGCTTGTTTGTCCAGTGAAAGGGCACTACTTAAACACAGATTTGTTCACGCCTGTACTATTAACAGCGCTCTAAGACAGCTTTCAGATGTCTGCTGTCGTTGTGTCTTTGGGCAAGACACTTTGCCTGAAGCCCCCACTGAAAGATCAAGGCTGTGGACTCACCACCTGCAGGAGGAGCAGTGAGGGGCTGGTGTTCTGTGTACTGGGTGCAGCTCTGACCGCCACCCCTCGACCCAGAAATGGATTAAGGGGAAGAAAATGGATGGATGGATGGATGAATAAGACAGCTTTTTTGGACATAACAAAAGTGGACACGATTGTTACGTCCAATATTTTTTTTTTGCATAATGCAAAACCTATAATTACAGATTGATTATAGTTACAGTGCCTTGCAAAAGTATTCGCCCCCCTTGAACCTTTCAATATTTCGCCACATTTCAGGCTTCAAACATAAAGAGATAAAGTTTTAATTTTTTGTCATGAATCAACAAGTGGGACACAATTGTGAAGTGGAACAAAATTTATTGGATAATTAAACTTTTTTAACAAATAAAAAACTGAAAAAAAAAGTGGGGCGTGCAATATTATTCGGCCCCTTTACTTTCAGTGCAGCAAACTCACTCCAGAAGTTCAGTGAGGATCTTTGAATGATCCAATGTTGTCCTAAATGACTGATGATAAATAGAATGCACCTGTGTGTAATCAAGTACAAATGTACAAAAGTCCGTATAAATGCACCTGCTCTTTGATAGTCTCAGGGTTCTGTTTAAAGCGCAGAGAGAACCATGAAGACAAAGGAACACACCAGGCAGGTGCGAGATACTGTTGTGGAGATGTTTAAAGCCGGATTTGGATACAAAAAGATTTCCCAAGCTTTAAACATCTCAAGGAGCACTGTGCAAGCAATTATATTGAAATGGAAGGAGTATCAGACCACTGCAAATCTACCAAGACCCGGCCGTCCCTCCAAACTTTCATCTCAAACAAGGAGAAGACTGATCAGAGATGCAGCCAAGAGGCTCATGATCACTCTGGATGAACTGCAGATAACTACAGCTGAGGTGGGAGAGTCTGTCCATAGGACAACAATCAGTCGTGCACTGCACACATCTGGCCTTTATGGAAGAGTGGCAAGAAGAAAGCCATTTCTCAAAGATATCCATAAAAAGTCTCGTTTAAAGTTTGCCACAAGCCACCTGGGAGACACACCAAACATGTGGAAGAAGGTGCTCTGGTCAGATGAAACCAAAATCTAACTTTTTGGCCACAATGCAAAACGATATGTTTGGCGTAAAAGCAACACAGCTCATCACCCTGAACACACCATTCCCACTGTCAAACTTGGTGGTGGCAGCATCATGGTTTGGGCCTGCTTTTCTTCAGCAGGGACAGGGAAGATGGCTAAAATTGATGGGAAGATGGATGGAGCCAAATACTGGACCATTCTGGAAGAAAACCTGTTGGAGTCTGCAAAAGACCTGAGACTGGGACGGAGATTTATCTTCCAACAGGACAATGATCCAAAACATAAAGCCAAATCTACAATGGAATGGTTCACAAATAGACGTATCCAGGTGTTAGAATGGCCAAGTCAAAGTCCAGACCTGAATCCAATCGAGAATCTGTGGAAAGAGCTGAAGACTGCTGTTCACAAACGCTCTCCATCCAACCTCACTGAGCTCGAGCTGTTTTGCAAGGAAGAATGGGCAAGAATTCCAGTCTCTCGATGTGCAAAACTGATAGACATACCCCAAGCGACTTGCAGCTGTAATTGCAGCAAAAGGTGGCGCTGCAAAGTATTAGCGCAAGGGTGCCGAATAATATTGCACAACCCACTTTTCAGTTTTTTATTTGTTAAAAAAGTTTGACTTATCCAATAAATTTCGTTCCACTTCACGATTGTGTCCCACTTGTTGTGGATTCTTGACAATTTTTTTTAATTTTTATATCTTTATGTTTGGAGCCTGAAATGTGGCGAAATGTTGAAAGGTTCAAGGGGGCCGAATACCCTTCAAGGCACTGTATATCCCCAACCATTAGCCATTAAATAGTCTTCTCTGTCCTGTTAATTCTTCCATTCACAAAGCCTCCAAAATGACATGTCCTAAATTTAACAATTATGTCCCCAAAGTGCCCATCTGAGATTATCCTATGTATATCTATAAGCTACATAGTATTAAAACATGTTTAGGTACAAAAAATGTTGGTTCAATTTTATTGTCGCTTGAAGTTAGATTGACGCATTGTAAAGTTTAGTGTGGAGTGAGCCATATACTGGCTTTTAGTGATTTCAGGGTAAATGGGAAGATGAAACTTTTACCTGTTGAAATCTGTTTTAGGCGATGGCTTCTGGGTGTCGAAACCAAAACCCCAAAATGTCCCACTTTTCCGACACCTGTTTACGTGAGTGTGCCCTTTATCATGTACAGTAAAGAAGAATTATAATATATCACTGTGGAGGTTGTGCTTATAGCGGAGCACCTGACCTACAGCAGCGCAGAAGAGGGGACGTCCCATGTGATCGTGCTGAGCATCCCAAACAAACACAACCCCCTGATTGCGGACAGGAGGCTGGTGTGCGGCTCCACCTGGAACAAGGCAGCTGCAAACATCTTCTGCAGAGAACACGGCGAGAAACTGTGAGGAAACTGCACGGAACCATAGACTGCATATAGATGGACCATGCTAATCCTCTATTTCAATGAAGCCCAATAGGGAAGTGCTCATGGACAAATTTAGACTCCTATTGAGCTACATTGAAAACTAAACTCCTCGGACTCAGTTTTGTGTAATTTTGGGCTTAATAATTTGCTCTCTATGATCCTAGTGTTTTTAGTTTCAAATGTTCTTTGTAGATTCAGATATGAGCCATAAGGATTGATCAATCAGAGGCCTTCATTCATCGGGAGAAGTTGACAGGAAAGTTGTAGTCCAGGATTTAACAGTTTATACCAAGGTCTAAACACTCACACCATATTGGAAAAAAACTTTACAAGTAACTTCATAATGAAATCTGTTGGTTAAATTTTTGTGCTATATACTGTGTATTGCTATAGTGACAGCTGAGGCAGAGTGTTATGGAACCTGTAACTGAACGTGAATATTATGTTGAGTGAGGATTCCAATGCACACTACCATTGATGGTAGTCTGGTAAGTAATGGTAAGTTACAGATTCTATATTCCTCAGCACACAGCACTGAGCACAGCTAATTTAAATATTCATAATTTGTTCCATGAAAAGGCACACGGTTAACCTCTTAAACTCCTACATCTGTACATTTGGCTCGTGCACAAAAGTTTGGCATACCCAAATGTCTTAAATAAATGCTTATTTAAAAACACATCTTACATCTCACATGCTTGTGTGATGCATCATTTTAAAGCTAGGCCCTTCTAGTTTATGTAAATATACACTGAAATAATGTATGTCATTCTTATTTTACTTTGCATCCTTTGAAGTTTGGGAAAGAAACCTGTTTTTTTTAGCCTCGCTTAAAAAATTCATAAATGTATAAATGACCTAAAAAAGCCTACTTCATTGGAAGAAGAACATTTTCTAAGCCAATATGTTCATTGTGGTGTTGACAAAAACTGTGTAAAGTTTCAGACTTCTAAGTTTTATAGTTTTCATGCAGTTTCTGCTTTTTATCAAGTAGTGCCATTCGGAACCAATTTGGCAAAATGTGTACCAAATTGTGCCAAACTGCTTTACTAACATTTCACCATCATAAAAAGCATATTTTTTAGTTTTGGTACTTATAAGTTACAAATCTGTGTGATTTTCTTTTAAATGTTTTCAAAATTATTTTTTTAGTAGTGTAAATGCATATAAAATATGCGCAGCAGTACTAACAGCGTCTTTACGCACGCTTTTACTGTGAAAATGAAGAGTTCCTACAAGTCCCACCCATCAAAATAAAGCTCTTTTTATTGGCTACTTTGACACGTCAATCATTCAGTGCTAGCACATTGCGCTAGCCTGTAATCAATAACAAGGCAAAGACGGACCCTCTGCAAATGGATGCGGTTTGTCTTTTTCACAAGGGTCCTGCGGACTGAAACCTGCTCCTATCTTTTCATGGAACCTCTCTTTTTAAAGCTAAGGACTCAAGGTACACGTGGATATGATGTTTGTGGGGGTAAACAAAGCTCAAACTTGGTGAAATGTGAAAGAGAAGCCTGAACATTTTTCGGAGCGTTTTTTTATTATTTCTGAAGAATGGGTAATACTTTGGGAAATACAAGTGGATATTCTTTTTCACTGAAGACTTACGGAGAGAAAGAGACTAAGCAAGGATGGGAAAAGTCTAATTTGTTGGAGCAGCAGAAGACAAAAGGTAAGAAACTTATACAAACACGATTTATTTTGTGCCCATATTAAAATCAACAAAGATATTTTTCCCAGTTTTGATGGGTGTAGTAGCTCCATTTGAACAATAGCTAGCTACTACAGCCAACATTTTGGGAAAAGTTTTGTTTTCCCCTTCACAGTAGGAATAATGAAATTGGAAAAAATTACTACAAATCAACAAAGACATTTTTCCCAGTTGTGATGGGTGTAGTAGCTCCATTTTAACAATAGCTAGCTACTACAGCCAAAATGTGGGAAAAATATTGTTTTCCTCTTCACAGTAACAAAAATGAAATTATAAACATTCACTAAAAATCAACAAAGATAATTTTGGATGGGTGTAGTAGCTCTATTTGAACAATAGCTAGCTACTTCAGCCAAAATGTTGGAAAAAAAATGTTTTCCCCTTCACAGTAGGTATAATAAAATTTAAAAAATTCACAAAAAATCAACAAAGATATTTTAGTATATATTATTGTAGTAGCTCCCATTCAATGATAGCTAGCTACTACAGGAAACATTTTGGGAAAATATTGTTTTCCCCTTAACAGTAACAAAAATGAAATTGGAAAAATTAACCAAGAGTCAGCAAAGACACTTTCCCTAGATTTGATGGGTGTAGTAGCTCCCAATGAACAATAGCTAGCTACTACATTCAAAAATTAACTAAAAATCAATAAAGATAATTTTCCCAGTTTTGATGGGTGTAGTAGCTCCAATTGAACAGTAGCTAGCTACTACATGCAAGAATTTGGAAATATATATATACAGTGGGGAAAAAAAGTATTCAGTCAGCCACCGATTGTGCAAGTTCTCCCACTTAAAATAATGACAGAGGTCTGTAATTTTCATCATAGGTACACTTCAACTGTGAGAGACAGAATGTGAAAATGTTTTTTTTTTCCAAAATGTTGCCTGTAGTATCTAGCTATCATTAAATGGGAGCTACTACACCCATCAATTCTGGGAAAAATATCTTTGTTGATTTATAGTCTTTATTTGTCGTTTTGACCTCCTGCAATTTTCAGATGGTCCCTTGCGAATATCAGGCGAATATCAAACGTTCGGCCAACTTCACCTCGGTTATTAACCGTTATATCTTTTTAATGCAAAGTCTGATATCGTTTACACTTACAATGATATATAGCTTGTGGCTTATGAAGTTCATAATACATCTGCTATTGCCAGCAGATGTATTTTTCTCGTTTGCCCCCACCGGCGGGGGCTCGCGAGCGCTTAAATTGACAGGACAGAGGCTAAAGTTCAAAAATAGAAGTCGAGACTTTTAATCGAGTACTTTTAATAGTTGCCTTTAAAAATGGCATCGATTTGTTCAACTAAAATTAGTTCAGGCTTTCTGTTATTGTCTCTTAAAAGCAGCATCTTTGTCTCTAACTAGTTCAGGCTCTGCTTGATCTATCTAGAAAAAGATCTGATCTACATCTAGAAAAAGCTTGATCTACATCTAGAAAAAGGGAGGGAGGCAGGCACGCCAACAAAAAGTGCTTAACAAAACAAGAACTATGTGTAATACAGTAGGATGTTAAAAAACATTTTTTAGAAACTTAATTTGTTGTGTTTTGACCATGGTATAAGCAGATTAAACAATAAGGAGAAGTGCGTTTGTATAATTTAAACACACTGAGTTGTGTGTTTAAAAAATGAGCAATAAGGAGCAGAGCGGTTGTGTGGTTTAATAATTACATAACCAACGGTAGTTTGCATTAGAATCTCCACTGACTGTGATATAATCATAAGTAATCAATGATAGAAATGGTTGTTAACCAATTTATGAATCAATGATTCATGCTTTGAATCATACTAACTTAATGCTATGAATTCTTCTTTAGATAATTCTAGATTTGTTTCTATCACTGGGGTTCACATGCATGTATTTCTGTCACATCTTCAGACAGAAAAGTGATAATGAGAGGACCAACATCACCCAGCAACACCTCTCAGCCCAAAGAGTGAAATAGTGCTTATAAAAGAGAACATGTTTTCTAATCAGATTAAGAAAAAAGTGGCAACATTTTACTTTTAAAAGCCAATTCCTTACACAAACAACATGTAATATCTATACAATATGTTAGGGACCCCAGCTTTAAATGCTGATGTCAAACTCCAAATTTATTTTTTGTAGGGGTGCACAGCAAGCTGACACCATCAGTTTCTCAGAGCTGCAGAGAGAGACTTCAGTTCAGAGCTGTGTCCATGTGCAGTGTGAAGGCTTTGAGAACTCGCTGGCAGAGTGTGCGCTTCGCAATCACACAACCCTGGACCCAACCGTCGCCAGGGCGAACTGCTACTCCGGTGCCACCAAAGGTATACCAATTCCAAGAGGATTGGAGTGAACTCAAAAAAGCTCCTTGAGGATTAGAGGTAACTCAAACAGGCTCCATGATGATCAGCAAAAGCTAACTGTACAGCTTTTGCCAGTACGTTGTCATTTCAGACTTGAGAATAAACTTTTTCCAACAATGGCAATCAATGGCTGTCACATGGACTATAGAGGCTGCATGCGTATGGAGCTATTATTGTTTCAATAATATTTGTGTGTGCGTAAAAATATTTGTGCGTGCGTAACCAGATTTGTGTGTACGTATCAAGATTTGTGTGTGCGTAAAAAGATTTGTGCGTGCGTAAAACGAGTTGTGTGTTTGTAAAAAAAAAGTATGTTTTACACAAGTTTTTTTTTAACACACGAATCTTTTGACACAGTCCTGCCTTCGCAGATTTGCAAGTGTAACTTGGATTGTGTGCGTGCGTAAACAGATTTGTGTGTGTGTAATTTGACATTTGTATCTGTAACAGAACAATCTGTGTGTAAATAACCACATTGTACGAAGAGAAGAACGAAAAAAGCCTAAGAGCGAAGCACAGGCTCTGTTTTACACACAAATCTCTTTTTGACACACCTCTGCCGCCAAGCATGTGTCAAAAAGATTCGTAAGTGTAATGTGGTTGTTCTAGCAGTACACCAGCAGATGGTGCTGTTGTAGCTGGTTATTACCTACACGCAAGCAAACCAAAACCTACTGCCTTGACAAGACACACTACCACAGCTGTTTATGATATTTTTTTCCTTTATTCAAAATCCTGTCATTCACACCACTGTATGATACATGGATCTATTATAATAACTGGATAGGGTGTCACTAGCTTGGAGCTGAAGGATTCTCGCGTACTGCAGACTAAATTCACGTGGGCTACACAGAAAATTTTCCCATAGAACTCAAAGTAAACTAAAACTATGGAAGATTTTTTGTGTCTTCAGATTTTGAATTTTTTTTTGCGTGAATTTTTCCGTTAGAAATGTTGAACCCTGAAAAAGCATGTTTGAATATTTTTATCTTTACATTTCAGTCACTAAAAATTCAGTTTACAAATTTCAATGTGATTAAAATTTCAAAATGACATATTCACCTTCAAAATATTCAATGAAAAAAAAAAGACGGATTATTTGTTCCATCAGAAATTGAATTTTAAATGGACCTGAATTCATCTATTTGAATGTTTTTAACATCTTGAATATTTTTTTCTGTGAAATTTCAGTCACTGATTGTCAATTTCATAATGTTAAATTCAACAGTCAAAATTAAACGAGAAAAAAATCAATGGTGAAAGATGCACATGACACATCCGGTGTTCTGACGAGTTCTGTGCTCTGTCAGTTGGTCTGCGCATAATGAACTCTGTTTTCTCTTCACTGACGTTGGAATCTCTCGTTATCTACATTAGACCCTTTAAGCCTAGTGTATACTTGCGCGGCGTGGCTTACGTTAGCGGTTGCGGTGGACCTACGTAAGCACAATGGATGTTATACTGGCGCGCTCCCCTTACGGAGTTTTGAGGAGAATGTTGTAATCCCACAACAAACCACATGAGGGCGATCACACAGGAGCGGTCCCATTTACGCTGCTACTTTGTCCTCTTCAGAACAACAATAGCAAACAAAGCTGTTTGAGCTCATTACATGTGTTTCTACTGTAGGTTTATGTGATAGTTTTATCTGTGATGCTGTGAATAAAGACACAGTTCTTGTTGGAAACATAATTATTAAATAGTTTTCAGCACAAACAGCAAAACAATAATAGTGGTAAATATCTGAGACAAACATGAACGATTTACGAGTGCAGGAGGAAAGCAACAAACGCAGCTACGATTCAAACAAATACAGGAACAGTGCAAAACAAACGACTGCACAGTTTATAAGTTATATATATGTTAGATATAAGTTATATATATGTTAGATAGTCCACAGTCTCCTGTATATCAGGCTCTGAGCCCAAACTGCTTTTCCTTCGAAGCGTGAAGCAGTCTGCTCCATAGTGCCTCGTCCATTGTCCCTGCTGCAGTCGCTTCATGCTTCCTTCCAATACACACCCACGGACCAATCACAGCGGAGCTTCCTTGCGGCGATCCTTACGCAGTTAGAAAATTTCGATGCTGCGCGGCAGGCAACGTAAGGGCCTTGCGGTGACCAACGCGTTGCGCAAGTGACGTCACGTCACCTCCGTAAGCTCCGCGCAAGTATAACTTAGGCTTTAGAACTAATGGAGATTTTGTTAACTTAGAATGTTTACGTTACCGTCACTTTAAGAAAGAGAGAGAGGTTTTTCTTTGCTTACGGAGCGAGTGGAGCCGAAAGAGCAAGTCACTTTTCACAGCTCAAGAAATAAGGAGCCATACGGTGTTCTTACCGTTGTTACTTTATTTCAGAGACAACTCAGCAAATATCATTTAGTGTACAAGAGTTCGAGCTGTGGAATACAGGTTTTTTGTTAATTCCTTTACGTGGAGCTCTTTTTCAAGTAACACGAGTGAGCCCTGTGGAAACTGCTACACGGGAAACTAGACCCAAATACTGTGTAACGTTACCAACAATAACACTGTCCTTTGTTGCTATAAATGTTCAAATGTGATGGTTTTCATGAACACAAACAAACACACACAGCCTAAATAAAAAAACAGGAATATACAGATTTGAAACAAGCACATTTACCCAAAATTTTCAAAAGACTTACTCATCAAATTAATGTAGTATCATCTTGTTATTCGCCTTGGTTTCATCACAATCCATTCATTAGAAATCCCATATCAACCTGTTAGATTCATGTTATCAACCGATGGACCTGCTTAAAGCTAGCGCCTGTCTTTACCTCAGTAAAATGACGCATGCGCAGACCAACTGACAGAGCACTCAACTAAGAACACCGGATGTGTCATGTGCATTTTTCACCATTGAATTTTTTCTCGTTGAATTTTGACTGTTGAATTTAACATTATGAAATTGATAATCAGTGACTGAAATCCACAGAAAAAAATATTCAAGATGTTAAAAACATTGAAATAGATGAATTCAGGTCCATTTAAAATTCAATTTCTGATGGAACAAATAATCCGTCTTTTTCATTGAAAAAAACATATATTGAATATTTTGAAGGTGAATATGTCATTTTGAAATTTTAATCACATTGAAATTCGTAAACTGAATTTTTAGTGACTGAAATGTAAAGATTAAAATATTCAAACATGCTTTTTCAGGGTTAAAAATTTCAAACGGAAAAATTCACACTAAAAAAAATTCAAAATCTGATGACACAAAAAATCTTCCATATAAAACAGCTGACAGAGAACCTACAGCTTTCATAAAGGTCGGATTTTGTGGGAATTTTAGTGTCCCTTGTCATCCTGAACTTGACAAATCTACACTTTAGTGCCACAAACTCTGCTGGTTTGCTTGCGTTTTGGTAATAACCAGCCACAACAGCACCATCTGCTGGTATACTGCTAGAACAACCACATTACACTTACGAATCTTTTTGACACACGCTTGGCGGCAGAGGTGTGTCAAAAAGAGATTTGTGTGTAAAACACAGCCTGTGCGTAGCACTTAGGCTTTTTTCGTTCTTCTCTTCGTACAACGTGGTTATTTACACACAGATTGTTCAGTTACAGATACAAAATGTCAAATTATACACACACAAATCTTGATACGTACATACAAATCTATTTACACACGCACAAATATTTCTTTTACACACACAAATCTGGATACGCACACACAAATCTTTTCACGTACACACAAATCTGGTCACGCACACACAAATATTATTGAAACAATAATAGCTCCATAGTTCTATGGGGAAAATGCTTGTGTAGCCCACGTGAATTTTGTCTTTTAGTCTGCAGTACGCGAGTCCCCCGAGCATGTGGGTCCTTCAGCTCCAAGCCAGTAATACCCTATCCAGTTATTATAATAGTTCTGTGTGAATGACAGAATTTTTAATATAGAAAAAAAAAAATCCTAAACAGATGCGGTAGTGTCTTGTCAAGGCAGTAGGTTTTGATTTTCTTGCGTGTAGGTAATAACCAGCTACAACAGCACCATCTGCTGGTGTACTGCTAGAACAACCACATTACACTTACGAATATTTTTGAGACATGCTTGGCGGCTGAAGTGTGTCAAAAAGAGATGTGTGTGTAAAACACAGCCTGTGCGTAGCTTTTTTCCGTTCTTCTCTTCGTACAACGTTGTTATTTACACACAGATTGTTCTGTTACAGATACAAATGTCAAATTATACACACACAAATCTGGGTACAGACGTACACAGTCCAAGTTACACTTGCTAATCTGCGAAGGCAGGACTGCGTCAAAAGATTTGTGTGTAAAAAAAAAAAACACAAACACACATCTTTTTACACACACACAAATCTGGTTACGCACACACAAATCTGGTTACGTACACACAAATCTTTTTACGCACACACAAATATTATTCAAACAATAGCTCCATACATGCGCTGATCACAGACTGCGCTGATTTGCTGTTTCAGCTTCTCCCCACTGTCAATCACCTGCTGGAGGCGGGCTTCTCACGTCACGATTTGGTTCCACGTCACAATTTTAAAAGTTGTCTTTCAGAATCAGAATCATGTTTATTGCCACGTAAGTAACAGGAGGTCACAGACTTGGAAATTGCTTTGGCTCAGTGCAACAGTCAGAAAGAGATAATAAAAATAAGAATAAAAACACTTCTAAAGAATAAATTTAAATTTAAAATAGAGTTAGTTACTATTTACAATATACAAGTGCACATGGTGCACACAATGTAAGGTGACAGCAGTACAGTGAAGTAAAGTGACGTATGATGGGTAGTAAAGTGACTTTATAAAGGGCGGGGGGACAGGTTAAGAAGTGTTCAAGAGTCCAACAGCAGAGGGGAAGAAACTGTTCTTGTGGAGGTTCTAGTCCTGATGGACCGCAGCCTCCTGCCTGAGGGGAGTGGTTGGAATAGTCCATGTGCAGGGTGAGAGGGG